AGAGTATAAAGAAGAAAAGAAGCAGTAGAGGCGCCTGGCAGGGACATCCGATTTCTTGTTTGCATTGCAGAGCCACTGAACAGCTGAGATGCTGGAAAGGAAGGGACCCAGTCAGGAGGGACCAACGCCCACCCCAGTGACCTCCTGAGGACCCTGCCATTATCCACCATAATCTGCTGCATACAGCTCCTGTCCTGCAGAGGCCAGGCCACTCTTGGTCACTTCCTGACAACACAGAGCCAGTCTGGGCAGCACTCACTTCCTTCAGTCATTCTAGGAAAACGCTGTCTGTCTCAACCAATGTCTGCATGTACCTCCAGGAGTCAGGCCATTACTGCCTTCACTCTCTCCCGACAATCAAAGGAAACCCACTGGGCAGCACTTACTATTCAGCCACTCATCTCTTCTTTTACATGCTTCTGCTGTATCTATCAAGGCTCTTAACACCCACTCCCCACCCCCAGATCTCAAACCTGCAGCTGCATTCCTCACTTCTGGCCCACACCTCCTCATTGCTTTGCACACCCAGCCACAGAATGCCACATTACAGGCCTAGCATGAGCAAGGCCTTCAGTGTGATCACAAAACAAAAACACTTCATCTGGGTGGCAGAAGCAGGTAGATCTCTATGATCTACATAGGGAGCTCCCGGCCAGACAGGGCGACCTGGTGAGGTCCTGTCTTGAAAACTGAAACAGAACAAATCATACACATACATATACAAAACCCCCAAATGCTCCATATTTCTTTAACATTATCATTTTAACTTTGAGCAGGGATCTCATGTGGCAGAGGATGAGTGATCCTCCTGCCTCCACCTGCCAAGAGCTGGGATTACATCCATGTGCAGCAACATTCATATTTCTAACAGTAATTTCAATGCTCCAAAGCTGGTAATTGAAGACCAGGGGCTGCAGAGATGGACCAGTGATTAAGAGCACTTGCTGCTCTTGAAGAAGACACATTTTGGTTCCCAGCACTCACACAGCAACTCCCACTAGCCACTACAGAGGACCAGACGTGCACGTGGTACATACACACAGGCCAACACACACATAAAATAAAAATAAGCCTTTTTTTTTTTAATTTAGTGTTTCAAGACAGGGTTTCTCTGAGTAGTCCTGGACACCCTGGAACTCACTTTGTAGACCAGGCTGGCCTTGAACTCAAGAGATCTACCTGCTTCTACCTCCCAAGTGCTGGGATTAAAGAGGTGTGCCACCACTGCCTGGGGAAATAATTACAGGTTCAGTATGTCTATAATCCCAGCAAGGGGGTAATGGGAATCAGAGTTAGGCAGATGCCTGGAAGCTCAATGGACTGCTAGTCTGGCCTGTGTGACAATGTTCCAATGGCGCACACCTTTGACCCCAGCACTTGGGAAGGAAGAGGCAGGAAGATCTCTGTGAGTTTGAGGCTAACCTGGGCTACAGATTGAGTGCCAGGACAGGCTCTAAAGCTACACAGAGAAACCCTGTCTCGAAAACCCAAAACATAAAAGAAAAAAATAAAAAGAATGTGCACACACACAACTATTTTTTAGCAGTATTTGTCCTTATAAATCTCAAAAATCTTAGAACACGTACATTTGTCTAACTACATTTATTAACTCTGTATGGATCCTGCCTCATATATAGAGGACAGACAATAATTTTCAAGATCTTTCTTTTTCTTCACCATGTGAATTCTGTGTCAAACTCAGGCTTGATAACAAGCACCCATGGTCACTGAGCCAGCTCACAGGCCCAGAACATGTAAATTTTGAAATATCATGAATGACTGCTACACAGCTGCATTTAGGAAACACCGGTCTATGAAATTAAAATGAGGAAGTAGAGGCCCTTACCTAATGCAGCCATCAAAAGAACCTGGTCTGAAAGGGATTCCCTGGCCCATGTCCCCTAGCAGCAGGTCTCCCTCTGTGTCCCGGTCCAGGGCAGCATCTACATTGAAGTAAAGCAAAGTATGGGTGCCACTGCAGCATACAGCTGTAGAAAGTGGGCCTGTGATCTCAGCAGCAGGGAGGCTGAGGCAGGAGCATCCCAAGTTGGGGCCTGGCTCTACAGCAAGATCTGATCTCAACCAAAAATCCAATTTGGCTGCTCCATAATCAAGAGGACAGCCACCTTGGTACAGGACAGGGCACACTTACCCAACATGGCAGGGCTGATGTCAATGCCCACCCAATAGTGCCCCTCTTCTGAGATATAGTCTCCACTCAGTCCAGAACCGCAGCTGGAAGAAACAATCCATAGGGGCTCATAGAGATGAATGGTAAAGACCCTCCATACCACCCAGGCAATCAGACCTGGGACCCAGGACCTCACCCAATGTCCAACAGAAAAGAGGGCTGACCCTCTGGCAAACAGAGGAGCTCCAATGCTCGCTCAGTCATCTTGGTCTGGATGTCAATCATCCGTGAGCTGGGAAGTAGAAAAACAAAGGAGAAGTTATAGAATTCTAGGTCATGTTTCTCCTAGATCAAAAGAGTTAGGAGAGTTTTAAAAAAGGAACAATCAACTAGAGGTACTTTTTCCTAACTTTAAAAATTTTTTATTTGCTGAGTGGTCGTGGTGCACGCCTTTAGTTCCAGCACTCAGGAGGCAGAGGCAGGTAGATCTCTGTGAGTTCAAGGCCAGCCTGTTTTACAGAGTGAGTTCTAAGACAGCCAGGGCTACACAGAGAAACACTGGAAAAATTTTTTTTTTATTTCATTTAGAGTGTATCTGTGTGTCTGTCTATCTGTCTGTCTGTCTGTCTGCATGTGGAGATCAGAGGCCAACTTGCTCAAAATTTTTTTTATTTCATTTAGAGTGTGTCTGTGTGTCTGTCTATCTGTCTGTCTGTCTGTCTGTCTGCATGTGGAGATCAGAGGCCAACTTGCTCAATTTGGTTCTCTTCTTCTAACATGTGGGTTCTGGGGATTGAATTCAGTCATGAAGCTTGGTGATTACCCTCTCCCCTTCACCCATCTTGCTAGCCCTTGCCCAACATTTTAAACTTACAATTCTAACATGAAACCAACAAACTCTAATGCAGTTATTAAAAGTAGTTCCACGTTGCCACAAAATTCCAGCATTCCAAACACTGAGACAAGACTAAGAGTTTAAGGCCAATGTGGGCAAGATCATCCTCAAAACATCAACAAAGTAACCCCCAAGTCCAAAGACACAATAGCATGTCATTCTATTGTGTACACATTTCAAGTGCACCAGCTGCAAAGCTGACAGAAACAGTCAAGTCACTCAGCAAATGTCCAGTCAGTGACTGACTACAACTCTACTGGATTTTGATGCTTTATTCCTTAGGAATGTGTTTTCTCAAAGAGTCATCTGACATTTTTACTTTCACCTATAAGGATCAACAATGCACAACAAGTGTTAGGAATGTGTCTTGGTGGTGGAATGTACACCAGGTCCTAAGTTTAGTACCCAGCACCTCCAAAAACAAAACAATCCACCTCAGTAGTAAAAAGTGGGTACTAGGCCATACATCCCATCCCCAGGACCTGAAAACAAAAACTTCACAGCATTGATGACCATGAGGAATATAAGGAATATAATGCAGGCACCAGGTGTGGTGGTGCACACCTCCACAAAACCAGAATCTGAGTGGCAGAGGCAAGCAGAGCTCTGTGAGTTAAGGCCAGCCAGGGCCACAGTGTGACTGTCTCAAAATGAAGGTGGAGGTGGGACAGTAAATAGAACAGGGCACAGGGCATAGTAGGACAAGCCTATAATCTCAGCACAAAGAGGCTGAAGCAGGAGGGTCACTACATATAAGGCCAGCCTGGGCTACATAATGTGAACATATCTCAAAAAAAAAGGACAAATAAACTGTAATAAATTTACTTAACCCCATAGATAATTATTTTACGTCAATATACTCAAAGTGTTATTTCATTTTATAGTCAGCAAAAAATAGTGAATGTGTCATTTTTCTTCCATTTCTCCATATTAAGTTATTCAGACTTACAGAATTTTAATAGCTAGCTCATGGCTGCCATATTAAACACAATATTTCTACACCTGGTCTGTCCAAAGTCAAAGTAAATAATCACACACAATAGTTTTCATAAAGCCCTACATGCTGGACCATGCTTGCAATTTTAGCACTTGGAAGTGGAGACAGGAGGGTCAGGAATTCAGTCACCTCCAGGACACAGCAAGTTCATGTACGGAACTCACACAATGTTTCTGTCAGTGGTTGCCATGGCGATTTAGTGCAATCGTGCATTTAAATAAGGATCACAATAAGCTCAGAACGAGTATGCCCTCCCTCCTAATAATACGGATTACTTTCTGGGGGTGTGGCTCAATGGTAAAACTACTGCCTGGAACCCCCGAGTGAGGGACTGGGGGTGTGGCTCAGTGACAGAGCACGGCTACAGTATGACAGTACCCTACTCTAGCTACTGCCTGCTTTACCATCTATTTTAAACACACTGTCAAACGACATAGTGTAAACTGGAGATGAATCCACCCACACTGGAACCAGGATCCCTCCAGAAGTTAGGCGGTTTGAAGTTCACTTTACGGGTGGCAGAACTGCATCCCCCCCCCCGACTCCCTAATTCTACATGCTTTCCAAGCGACGCCCATAATCAGGGCGACTCGCCGACCCGCCCCCCGCGATGCCATTCAACAGCCGCGCCTTCCTCACTTGCGAACGTATTTCCGGGCTTCATTCTGGTCATAAAACTGTTGGGGAGAGAAAGATACAGGGCATATGAGGGGGAGAATCCACAAGCAGGCATCCTGGAAGAAGACCGAGACCTGACAAGGCTCTTACCAGCTCCGGCGGTCCGCTGTGCTCCGGTCTCCGGCTACGAGACGCCATCTCTAGGGTACCGCAGCACGCTGCTGCCGGCAAGCCCCGGCGCGACGTTTGACGTCATCAACCCTGCGACCTCCTCGTAGGTCTCACGCTCTAAACGTTCCCCGCCTTTCTCTCCCTTTGATTGGCTCCAAGACGGAGCCGCCGCTCACGATTCGCGATTTCCATTGGCCGGCTCGGCTCCGCCCAGCCCCCCGCCACAACATGGCGGCCCCGCGCTCCCTGGGCTGGCGGCTGTCACCGCTGTGGAGGCTGTGGCAGGCCCGGGGCTTGTGCTCGCCGGGGAGGCCTTACTCCCGCACCGCCCTCTACGAGCTGCTGGGCGTCCCCTCCACGGCCACGCAGGCACAGATCAAAGCGGCG